GCTACGCAATCTAACACATGCAGCTAGGAGGATTGGTAAAGCATACCGTGAATGTAGAGCCCCAGACCTGCTCAGAACGTTCCAAGCTGCACTAACAAATGCAAGGCAACAGGAATGGGAACAATTTGTTAGTGGAATAAATAGGTCCACCCTTTAAGTCTGGCTTGGAAAGGTATAAATAAAATAACCAGGAAAAAGACTGGCAATGTTGCTAATCTCTTTCCTCTTGAAAAATGAAATGACCTCATAAATGACTGGTCCAAAACATCCAGGCAAGAAAACCTTCCATCTCGTATCAGAAAAAAATTAGTGCGCTTCTGAAGAAATGTTGAAACTGATTAATTTTATGAGCCAAAATATTGATGAGAGTGATTGCCTCTTCACCGAGTATGAATTATATAATGCATTAACTAAAGGTCGATCAACTGCTCCTGGAGAGGATGATATAACTTATGATATTCTCAGAACTCTAAGGCAAGTGCCTGATAACCCCACTGTATAATCTGTTACACTGAGGGCGTTCTTCCTACTTCTTGGACCATTAGTCTCATTGTGCCTATCCCTAAGCCCCAACAGCCTGATACATTTAGACCGATTTCCTTAACTAGTTGTCTTTGTAAAACTTTTGAAAGAATGTTACTTAACAGACTGTACTATAGAATCAGACACCAACTTTCCCCCTACCTTCATGGGTTCATGAAAGGTAAAAGTGTGCAGAACTATTTCCACCTTTCTCACTGCACATACCTCTACTAGCTTTACCACATTTCTTGATCTAAAATCTGCATTTGATATCGCGAACAGAACCGTTATACTACATGAACTAGCCAAAAGGAATATTAGTGGTAGCTTACTCTGCTGGATAATAGGATACCTGTCAAATAGAGTATCCTCTGTCCTCTACCAAGGCTTTAGAAGCGAGTCTAAAGAAATATCCCTAGGTACACCGCAGGGAGGAGTTCTCAGGCCCATGCTATTTAATATTCTGATTAATGCTCTCCTAAATGCTCTACCTGCCTCACCTAAACATATAGCTATAAGCTATACTGATGACATGATCCACACAACAGGGCATAAGAAGATGAGTACCATTCTTAATGAAGTTCAAGCAATTTGTAATCGACTAGGCCTCATAATATCTTCCTCTAAAACAAAGATATTAACAAGCAAATGACATTCCCCACCCATCTATTTGCAGGGTGAAAACATTAGCTACGTTAAAACTTACAGATATCTTGGTGTAGATGTACCCTTTAACAAATCCACTATACCACAACTAAATAAGAAATGCAAAGATAGGCTAAATGCTCTCAAAGCTGTTGCTGGGTACAACCCCAACTATGGTGGTAATGTGAGAATCGTGAGAATGATGTGCACAGCCTGCTCTCAAAGCTGTTGTTGGGTACAACCCCAACTATGGTGGTGATGTGAGAATCGTGAGAATGATGTGCATAGCCTATGTTAATTGATTATGCTTCTCCCATGTTGATATTAGCTAGAGAAGGTTCTCTCCGACCCTTGGAGTTAATGCAAAATAAATCTCTCAGAATTATTCTTGGCTGTCCCAAATCTACAAAGGTTCTTAATATGAGGAAGGAGCTTGGTATTTCTGATATCAGTGATAGGATTGTTGAGATTAACACTGTACTCGGTATTAGAATGTTAAGAAATGAACCAGACACTCACAATAAATCTTACTAAGTGTCTCGAAGTAAATACACACAGATCTAAATGGATTATGAAAACGTGCAACTCCATTAAGTTTCATAATCTGCATGAACTGTATCACTGTAGACAACAAGAGCATTTTACCCCTCCATGGAAGATGTGTTCATTTAATATCACATACCTGCAAGTCCCTCCCAAGAAGCTCATTGCTAGTAAACCCTTCCTTAAATCACTTGTTAAAGCAACTGCTCAAGAAGAAATTTCTTGCCTAGCTGGAAGTAATAAGTTATCACAAGTTATATACACTGATGGGTCTAAACAGGAGTCTTCTGGCAAGGCTGCATCTGCTCTTGTCGCCACCTCCCTAGTTAAGAATGATAATAAACTTGAACTAGGCATAAGAATTAACAACTGGGCGTCTACATTGCAAATCGAATTGTTTGCAATCCTAATGGCGCTAAGGCTAACCTATGACACTGGGCTTGACTATCATCATTACTGATTCTATGTCATCGCTGAATGCTCTTAACTTATATTATGACTCCAACAACATGCTCATTGGAGAAGCCAGGTATAGATACTCAAAAATCAGGGACAAAGGAATTAATGTACAATTGCTATGGATCCCATCACACACTGAATTACTCCTTCATGATAAAGCTGATATGTTAGCCAAGAAGAGTACCAAGAAGGAGAATGTAGAATATAACTTTGGTATATCTCTGTCTAGCATTAGGAAAAATATTAGAAGTAAATAATGAAAATTATTGTTATAGGAATCCAGTTAGAAGCCTGAGTAGATCTATAACCCACTATGATAATATGAACATAGATAAGTATGTTTATGGAGCAACTTGCAATGTGAACAGACTGACTGATGTTGTAGTGGCCAGGCTTACGCTTGGTTACAAGTACTAATGGCAGTTTGGAAGACACACAGATGATGATCAAACTAAATGTAAATTATGTGATCAGGCATATGGTTACTGTCTTGACCACTGTGCTTAATTGTCCACTTATTGAGGAATACAGAGACAGTATAATAACCTATGTGACGTCAAGGTATCTTATTAATGAAAATAAGATACCAGATATACTAAGCAAATTTTCTAAATTTGCTTGCAACAGATAAGTGAACTATAGATATGTAGATATAAATCCATATGTACTGTTAATCCGTTGGGGCCTAGTTCCTAGGCCTTTTGTGTATCCATATGCTCTTGCGCTTCAGTCCACAGGATGGATATGGGGAGCGCAATAAACTAGCCACTTCGGTGGCAAATTCTAAATCTAATCTCAAGAGACTTCCAAGAAAACATTACGGGAAATAAATCACTTCATTTTTAAAGATAGAATATCTGAAATCTCGAGATTATATTTATATTTTGCTTTGATATCTAGATAAACTGATTTTTTATGATTGAAACCCAATTATCAATGCAGTTATATATAATTTAACCTCATGAAAAATCAAGTATCTCCATGGAATGTCCTGTTTGGATGAGGTGCGCTACTGCTCAAAACTAGACGGGAATTAGGAAGGGAACAAGAATTTTCTTCGAGAATAGACAGCCTTCCAAATAGTTGTGCCGCCTGTGTGGCTAGTTTATTATGTACCTCATTCATCCTGTGAGAGGTAGTGGAAAAAAAAGTTTACAGAGGTTATAATGGGTCTTTCTCAGACCCAGTGAGCATCGTCATATCACCAGTAAGAAATATTAGCCATTTCATATTTTACAATCGCGGTAGAGTCGGCAACTGGCTTTGTCCAGGCCGTCCATTATTTGTGTGGAAAATACTGTATATATTTTCCAGAAATACAGTAGTTATATGTAAATAGATAGCCATACTGTATTTAATAATATTTGTCATAGAAAACGGAAAGCCTGCGTCTGCGCAGAAGGAGAATTGCCATTTTGTTAATTTGAATTGGATACAACGTTAGTGCAATGGGAAGGAATTTTCGTGCTCTAGAGGTTAGTATTGGGCTGACACCTCTCAAATAGGAGGCGAAATTGTTGGATGTGCATTTCTGCATAACTTGAGATATCAGGCGACAGGACAGGACAACTCCAGGAACCTCAGATAAGTCTGTTATGTTATAACTCTGGCCAGTTGTTATTTTCATGTATAGACAGTGAGGTTTTCTGAGTATGATACAAGTTAATCTCCAGTTAAATTGGTGAGTGATATTAAGATATTTTCCTTCTGTTATGTAAATGTGTGTATATGCTATAATCCTTTTTAAATTTTAATATACAGTCCACAAATTTATATTTACCAGCATTCCTGGTGATGTATATTTCATTTAATTAATAGGTCCAGAGCAACTTGTGGATATGACAGTTTTAGGTATCGAAGGGGGACATTTTTTGCGACCTAGGTGTCCCAAATTCCTACTTGTCTAACTGATAAATAATAATTATCTATGTTCATTTACTGTTATGTATATAATGATACATTCAGATAAATGCAATTTTCCACAATTTCATTAAGAGGGAAGCGCTAAACTTGTAGGGGGTTATATAGCATCTGGGGAAATGGGAGGTACCTAGGTTCGACCCAAGGAATGGAAGATTAAGTCAAAACCCTTGGATAAAGAACCCCTCATCGGCGTCAAGGATTTCCACATAGGACTGCATGCAGAAAATTCATGATTATGCATTTGGGCAAGCAAAGTTGCAGCCATAAAGTATAGCTCAAAAAGTAATTTTTGTATTAGATCCATCAGCTATTAAAGACTGAAGCCCTTTTGAAGAGGCATACTCAAGCTACTGCACGGAAAAATACCATTTTAGAAATAAAATTGGGAAACTGGCACCTATCTATTTTCTAAGTGGAATACGCCAGCATTGGAAGGTCAAATCAATCAAGAGATTTTTTTTGGTTTTCAAGTCACCACACTGAAACCAAAATTAAGATTTTCTAAATAAAACTGACCCGAGGGTTGCTGCAAATGTCAATATTACCTGCACGAACATTTTCTAACGCTACAGTTCACCAACTTGGAAAATTTGAAGTGGATCAGGTGAGGCGTTCTCAAATTATACACGTAATAAATAAAGACAAACATTTAGGCACTCCAAGGTACCATTCGTAGATACCTAAATATATAAAAATAAAAAAAACAAATATGCTTTCAGTGCCTGTCTTACAATTTTTTTTTTTACATATTTTTAGATATCTTTCTAACAGCGATTACTGAAAGAGTGTGTAGTGTTAAAACAATTTTTTTATACGTATATTTTCCTGTTCAGGTGCAGTATGACAATTAAATATAACGGTGCCAACAGTCAGCTGATTCCGCCTGGCAGGGAGGTTAACATCAATACAGTGTTGTCAGATTGGTCTCATTTTCACTATATTGCTCTAATAACACCTTCGAATTGGTAAGAAGCATCCATATACCAATACACAAATAAGAATAATAACTCCACCTATAAAGATCTATAATACCGTATAAATTACAGATTTAAATACTGAAGATAAACATTGAAAGTGTAAAACTGTAGCCATGTTGCTGAGGCCAGACATGGGCTGACACAGCAGCATCAGTATGCTACAAGACATTGCAGCTGGTGAATGAATGGTGTTACTCTCATTCATCTTGCCTTGACTACATCACACACCTTGCACTGGTAACGTAAAATATCCGTTTATAACTCTTACTTAGTTTCCGCATTATTACTTTCACGTCGCTTTTAACAGTAAGATCGTATTTATTGATTTTATTCTTTCGTATTTCAGAATATACGCGATATATATTTATTATTAGCTTCAGGACTCAGATTCTACTGTATATGTTAATATATTATATGAAGTTGTTTATCAGGACAAGTTGTGGCATGTGCACGCGCGCGTGCGTATGCGTGTGCGTGTGTTGTGATAAAATCTTTCAGTTTTCAAGAGGAAATGCAGCTTTGCTAACACCAAATTGATCTACTGTGATGGTGACAGTTGTGGTAACACTGTGCTTGTAGCTCTCCTCCTTTTCTAGCGATTCTAGGAAATCTATATACAACACCCGGTCTACTAGCACATGGTGTCCCGTGGCTTGGTTGGCAACGCTCCTGTCTGGCAGTGTCCGTGGTTCAACCCCCGGTATTTAGGTATAGGTACATACAAATACAGTTACACAGATTATCATACATAGTAACGTGTGTGTAAATTACCTATGACAGCCCAAAAATACTTAATTAAAACAGCTAAGTAACTCAACTGTGTGAAAATCAGTTTCCTTACACCTGCTGTCCCTGTTTACCTAGCAGTAAATAGGTACCTGGGTGTTAGCTGACTGATGTGGGTCGCATCCTGGGGGACAAGACTGAAGGACCCCAATGGAAATCAGACTGTCCTTAAGGGACCATGACCCTTCAACACCTTCCCTCCATACATAAGGGGGATTATCAACAAACCCCTAGCTATCTCGATAAATTTCACAAAACAGTTCCTGACCAGCCGGGTTGTGTGTATACATTGAATTGCGGACAGCGAACACTAACAGCTTGCTTGATCAGTCCAGCAATCAAGCCTGGTCCAGGACCGGGCCGCGGGAGCAGTGACCTCCAGAAGCGACTGCAAGTAAACCTCACTACACCCGCTCAACTTGTATTTAAAGCTACCCAAAATTCTAGTTTCAGTGACGCTAAATGGGAGTTTGTTCCACCTATATACAGCTCTTATTTCCAAGACGGCACTTCCTTATATCCTTCCTTTATCAAAATTTGTCCAACTTGAATCCTGTCTTGTTTATATAATTTCAGCACGTTATTTATATCCTCTTTATTTATTCATGCTTTCCATCTGTACATGTCAGTCATATCCCCTAACTTTACCTCTTTCCAGAGTGCTAATCCAGTACCCTCTGCCTAGTTTTAATAATATAAGAAAGAAGGAACACTGCAGCAGGCCTACTGGCCCATGCGAGGCAGGTCCAATTCTCCTACCGGCTTAAGCCAATGCCTTAACCTAGTCAGGTCAGGTCACGTTCACTTAAGGAAGGAACACGGCATCTGACCTAGTAGCACGAGCTAGTCAGGTCAAACTAGCACTCACCCACGCCCACTCGTGTACTTACCTAACCTGGTTTTAAAACTACACGTCTTAGCCTCTATGACGGTACCCGGGAGTTTGTTCCACTCATCCACAACTCTATTACCAAAACAATGCTTTCCTATATCTTTCCTGAATCTGAATTTTTCCAGCTTAAAGCTATTGCTGCGAGTCCTGTCTAGGCTAGATATTTTTAGCACGCGATTGACATCCATAATATTCATCCCGTTTTCCATTTGCACACCTCAATCATATCCCCCCCAATTCTACGCCTTTCTAGAGTGCGCAGATTCAGGGCCCTCAGTCTATCCTCATGGGTTTGTGGCTTAGCGCTTCTTTTTGGTTATAATAATAATAATAATAAATATCCTCATGGGAAAGATTTCTGATACATGGGATCAACTTTGTCATTCTCCTTTGTACGTTTTCCAGTGCATTTATATCCATTCTGTAATACGGTGACCAGAACTGTGTAGCATAATCTAAATGAGGCCTAACCAAGGATATATAGAGTTGAAGAACAACCCGAGGACTTCTGTTATTTGCACTTCTTGATATGAAGCCAAGGATTCTGTTAGCTATATTGTGAACGCTTATGCACTGTCTTAGTGTCAGATTACTGCTAACCAAAACTTCTAAATCCTTTTCGCAATCAGTAAAATTAAGATGTACATTTAGTTTATATGTGGCATGGTTATTTTCCTGTCCAACATTTTGAATTTTGCATTTGTCTGTGTTAAACTGCATCTGCCACTTCTCCGGCCACTGCATCAGTCTATTCAAATCATCCTGGAGTGCTCTAATGTCCTCATTATAATTAACTGGACGGACTATTTTGGTGCCATCAGCAAATTTGCTTATGTCGCTATTTATTCCCTCATCTATGTCGTTTATGTAAATTGTGAACAAGGGGCCCAACACTGACCCCTGTGTTTCCTTACACATGTTGTCCATGTTCACCCATCAGTAACATAGGTATTTGGGTGTTAGTCGACTGGTATGGGTCGCATCCTGGGACAAAAATTGATCTAATTTGCCCGAAATGCTCTGACTAACACCGCTGCCACCATGTGAGACCTGTACCCACTCTGCCTGTGGTATCCCAGCAAGTGAGCACGTCTGTATTATCCAGTGCTTAATTAACAGAATAGGGAATAGCATAAGAGGGTACAAATAAAAATGAGAACAATGGCTATAGTTCACTTAATAAAATAAAGAGTGAGGATACAACATATTCTTACGGAGAATTACACAGTATAATAATCGACCTATGAGACTTATTACCAGGGGGAGGTGGAGATGTTATCAGTAACATGGACTGGTACTCACTCTTAATTCACCAACCAGCTGACCCGAGATTCGCCCTGCATAGCCCACTACACACTTGGCTGTCCAGGGCTCCTGCTCACCGGCCCAACATGGTCAGCAACTCTGCCCGAATCTTTCCTCTCTAGCTGCTTCCTAGAGCTTATATGGTCCTTAAAGCACCCCCCCTCTAAACTCCAGGTTCACCCCCCCCCGAGGCGTACACCACGTGTGTTAAGACCTGACGCTTAAGACCTGACGCCAAAGCAAGGAGTGATAATTTACACTGGTCAGTTAGTTCATTACCTTTGTAACTAGTTCAGCTATCATAACTTTGGGGTCCAGTCACTGGACCCATTATGTACCTTTGTAATCTTTTGACTACCGCTCACAGGATGGGTATGGGGTGCATAAAGATATTAAACTAAAGGGGGGGTGTGTGTGTGTGTGTGTGTGTGTGTGTGTGTGTGTGTGTGTGTGTGTGTGTGTGTGTGTGTGTGTGTGTGTGGTGGTGTGTCAACAATCAATATTTGCACCAATAACTCATTACAGTTGTGACCGGGTGTGGAAGTGTGAATTGCTCATTACTCTATAATTTGTTCATGATTGTAGCCAAAGTATAAACGTAAGTAACCATTCTACAGAATTCATTACCTTTGTAACTTGTGAGCTCATTACCTTTGTACCTAGTTCAGCTATCAAAACTTTGGGGGCCCAGTCCCTGGACCCATTACGTACCTCTGTAATCTGTAAATACCTTTGTAACTTGTCATGATTGTGACCAGACTTACCTGGAGTTCATTACCTTTGTAAATTGTGAGTTCATTACCTTTGTAAATTGTGAGTTCATTACCTTTGTAAATTGTGAGTTCATTACCTCTGTAACTTGCTCAGCTATCAAAACTTTGGAGTCCAGTCCCTGGACCAATTATGTACCTCTGTAATCTTTTGACTACCGCCCACAGGATGGGTATGGGGTGCATAATAAACATATTAAACTAAACTCAGTTAGGTCTTCCTTTTGACTTCACAAACACAGTTGACCTACACCACAAAGGGTTTTCTATTTAGTAGTATATCATTGGTGTCAGCTAGGCCTGTATACCTTGTACATGTACTTGTAGAAATAAAGATATTACGAAGTGTATTAGGTTTATTGCAGAAACTTACGGACTGCTGACTTGACTTTAAATTCTTGTTTACATTACACCTACTCTATATAACACCAGATCTATAAAACACGGAAAAATGTCCTTTGTTTTGCTGTACTGGGTACTCAAATACAATAAACAACATTGTACTCCCTTTCATTATGGTTTGGAGTTATCTTTAAATACTTAATTTACCACACATATAATAGTATCATTAAGTAGTATTATCTCCGAGTAGTTTCTAAGTGATAAGAAGTCTCCTTCATACTGTTGGTAACTTAAGTGGGTCTTAGAGGTGTCAACCTTTAGTGGACAGTTAAATGGAAATTGATAAGTGGAGTACTTAATCAGTCTACTAATTAACTCTGTTGAAGTTGGGTGTCACATTCATTTCTACCCTCGGTGTGACAACAGCAGATCAATAAGACACTAGCTCTACACACTTCTATACAATACCTTACTTTACAACACCTGCTGTATGCACCTTTAGTACGAGATTTTCAACTGCGGTATACAACACCTGCTCTAAACACCACCAGTTTTACTAGTACAACTCAGCGAGTTCAAAAGATGTATACGTATGCATTTTTTCTGCTTGTAACCTGCTCGTAGTTGATAAACATTGTGTTGTCAGAGTCAGCAAGTTCTTGTGAATGTATGCACAAGATAATGTGATATGTTATCAATATTGTTATCAACGCCTCGTGAAAAAACCTTGCGAACTAATTTAAAAAAAAAGTATTATCTACTTCACTAGATTTTTTCATATATTCTTATTTTTAGAGGTTTGTTCTATATTTTGACTGCTGTATAAAGTTATAGACACTTGGTGCATTTGTGGCGTGTTCGGGCTCTAATCGAAAGACCCGGGTTCAATTCTGGGTGATGCTGGGCGCAAAGGCAAGATCTGTTTACATGGCAAAAAAGTACCTGAGTATTAGTCGACTGCTGCGGGTCACATTCTGGGAAAGGACTTAACCGCCTCCAGTGGTAATAAGTCACACTGCTTGACTTTCTTGGGTTATCCTGGATTATTCACTCTGGAATAATAATCCGAATAAAGTCGTCTTCAATGAGTGGAAATTAAGAAGAAAGAATGATACCAGAGAATTTTGTCATCATCATCATCA